AAAAAGTCAGCTCTTGAAATTCTACGATTTAAAACATTCTTTACGGTGTGAACAGCATTACCAAATACTTCTACTGAATCATATTGGAAAGAAAACCAAAGGCCAAAGCCGACTTCTCCATTCTTAGCTTCTGGAATTATTTCTCTTCGTAAGACCGACGTCTAAGAAAATTCTTCGCGTCTCGACCCACCTCCCTCGATAACTTATCGTTGCAACCTTGGCATAAAAAGGCGACAATGCAGCCAATTAACCGGTTCGCGCGTAGGGATACTTTTCCTCCGCAGAGTATACGTATCGATCCAATTGCAGCGAAACCCGGCAAGTGACAAACGTTTTCAAGGGTTGATCGATGTCGGAGGGCGAGGATATCATGCCAGTTGCACGATCGCAATTCCGTCTCCGACTTTCAACTTCAAACTATTCGAGACCAACTTTCTCTTTCATTCTATCCCAGAAATACAAGTTTTCACGCGAAAGAAAAGGAAACGAAAGAAAATGTTTCAAAGGGTTGTTCGATGGAAAACTATTACACCAGTCGCATAATAGCGATTTGTTCTGCAATTTTCGACCTCAAACCCATCAAAATTATCTTCCTTGTCCATTTTAGAAATTCTTTACATCACCTTCTTTTTTTCTACACGAAAGAAAAGAAGAAAATACTTCAAAGGGTTAACCGATATCCGAGGACGTGGCTATTACGTCGAATGCACGATTGCAATTTCGTCTTTCATCTTCAATTCCAGTCGGAATCAAGCTTCTTGTTTATTCGAGTAATACACGCATTCGTTTCACAGAACAGAAAAAGATGCAAACGAAAGTGAGAAAAAGAAAAGGGAGAAGAACTTGTGGAGGAATTTGAGGGGTTAAAATCGCTTACCCTCGGTCATGAAACGGGTCAAAACAGTGAGAAAGGCGATAAAAATTGGGGCATCGCGGATGGCCTCTCGACAGCAGCCAGGTGTACGATGAACTCGAGGGTGGCCTCCTGTTTCGCGAGCAGAAAGACACGGGGGGTGAGCCTTCCCTCGGGATAAAGAGGGTGTTAAGATCCGCGATGGTGTGGGTTGTTGTGACGGCAATGCTTGTATACCGGTCGGGGCCTTCGACTCGTGCCGCTGCCCATCTATCATCCGAGCATCTCTTCCCATTCCTCTCGTTTTTCTTTTTCTTTTTCCTTTTTACCTTGCCTTTGTCGTGCGCCGTCCCGCAACTCCTAACCGATCGACGCTGTCTCGATGTACTCGTAAAGATCACGAAATGTTTGGAGAAGTGTTATATGTGCAACTTGTTCGTTTTTTAAAATCAAAAGTAGCTGCACAGAATGTGAAATTACAGATGGCTATTTCATATTTGGAATTTTAATTGTTACAATCGTCTAACGATTCTAATACTATCGCGATATTATAGCGCGATCATTTTTTATTTAATTATTTCTACAAAACGACAGTTCTGTGCTATTTATATTTTCTTTTGCTAGTTTTCTAATGTGATAGAGATAAAAGCTATTTGGTAGAAGAAAATTTAAATTTCTTATTAAAACTACTTTATACGTTTTTATAATTCTTATCTAATTAAAATGACGAAATAAGGATGTTTCCTGCTACAAGGGACAGGAGTCTAAAAAATCGGGATGCCCCAGTTTCAACTGCCTGTCGCGATTATTATGAAATGTTGGAGGGCAGAGACGTCGCGTCCCTCTTCTAGCAAGGCGTAGAACATAGAGGAGTTTAACATAATCGGTTGTCATTGTCGCGGCATAATGGAGCAACGAAGGTGATGCATATACGATGACGGGTTATTCAGTGATCGATTTCGAGAATCGCATATTATTTGCACTCGACAGGCTATCATCGAGCGGAACAACAATTTTCTCGTTTAATCGCGGCTCATCACGAGATGCGCTCTGCCTACGCACGGCTGTCCGTGAAAGTCACGATAATAGCTGTCAGTGACTCACTTAAGGTCAGCTCTCGGAAAGTGGCACGATAAAGACAAGAAGCAACTACGAGTCGACGACTCGTGAAAATCATCGTCGATCTGTTGAACTTTCCAGTAAAATCTCGCTCCTTGGCACGTCCGACATATTTTCTAAGAAACTTAGGAAGTTTAACTGTTTTACAATTCCATTCAGTTGTAATTTATTACGAAAGCTGAGAAAGAAATTTGATTCGATATTTTTCAAAATATTTAAACAAAATTTTTCGAACGTATACCATGTTATAATCGCTAAGAAGCATTAAGTACATGTTAGGGTACTGTTGAGTTTCTATAATGCAGCAAAATTGCTGTTACTGAAACGCGAGAGAGAAGCGTTATTGACTACGAATGATAGGATGGAAACTGGCAGATCTAGCTGGACGATTGGTAAGAACAGCTAACATCGCTCATTTTACACCCACATCTCTAGAATCCCTAACGGATAAACTCGTTTCATAGAACACATCCCTCTTATCAGTATCAACGACCGGCCGTTCGATTCTCTGCCGAACATTGATCTGAATGTTTCTCTTATCGCAGTTCCATTTCACACAGAAAATAAAGAAAAGGAAGAGAAAGGACAAAAAATCTTACGCAAGAAAAGAAAGATCGAGTTAAAAAATATTGTTTAAATGAAATACTACGACTTCTCGATTTTCACGTGATTAGTATGAGAAAACTTTGCTTGTCGAGGAACGAATCGATTCGTTTTAATTGTTAGGCGAGCATGTTTTATCGTGACGAGGAGAGAGAGAGAGAGAGAGAGAGAACAGCAAAGGAGAGAAAGGAGAAAGAGAGAAGTAGCGCTAGGCCGTATCGGCAGCAAACAACACGTTTGTTTCTGAACGAGTCTGAGTTCGATACGCGATTATTATGACCCGCGACGAGCCTTGAACTTGCCCTACGATAAGCGGAGCTGCTTACGAGACGGCGACGCCGCGCGGCTGTTTGTTGCACACCGCTCTGTACACGCTTGCCCGCGACTTTGCCATTAAATTGACTCGCGTCGGAGTACAATGACCTCGTGCATTCGAGTTTTCAAAACGAACTCTCCACGTCTACTCGTGGTTCGTTCTCGCTTTCGATGCCATTATCCTATCGAATCGAATCGTTCTAAAGCGTGCTTCTTTTTTCAATAAAGATTAAATGTGGGTTTCGAAATTTTTTTGGAGTTCGTTTTTACTTTTCGATGACTATCTTATCGAATTGAAGCAATTAAAGATATTTTAAATATCTCCTATCATCGTATAGATTTTGCAGAGGGATTGAAAAGGTTCACTATTTTGATAATCGTTTGTCCGCATGTTTGAGAAATTTCATTAATTCGTAGTAATATAATTTTAATAATTGTTCGATAATTATTTAGTAGTACTTCTGAGAAAATTTTATTGCAGATGTTTCGATAAAACTTAAATGGGTCTGAGAATATTTAACTCAGTCTCTTACGAAATGAATTGCGATTGCAAATAAATTGCGACCGTGTGGTGTGCGGCGAGGAATGCAATTTTCTGTTCTAATCAGAATCGGTAGTCGAGGAGCAGTACATTCGGTATAATCAACTTGCGGCAAGTTATTGGTAAATCGACGTTGTTAGAATGGCATGTGATTTTCTGTTGTATCAACGTGAACGTCACAGTCTCCTTCTTTTTTTAATAATTTTCATATGTGTAGCTCCTTGGTATCAAACAATTGAACCGTAGCATTGCAAATGCATAATTGACGATAACCTCCACTTGCAGCGCAACGTCTCTGATAAATAAAAGGAAGTAAATCATTCTCGTTGTTTCAACAAAAAATCACGAGGAAAGCTTCTTCCTATTTTAAAACTCTGAACTGATCAGTCTTCGTTTTTAAACACTTGTTCCACATTTTCAAAAACGAACATTGTCTATTTTAAACATCTAAATTGATCAATCTCTCCTTTTAAATACTTAATTTAAATACTTGTTCTACATTATAGAGTCACCAGCTTTTGATAATATTCTTTCTCATTTAAAAATTCATTCAAGTCCAATAAAAATTCATAAAGCGCAACAATTTCTTAGGAATAAAAACCAAGAGAGGGAAAATATAGGAGAACAAATTTTACAATGCTCGTTTTTGAGCACAGTTCGAATCCGTCGCTAGGAAAAGCAACTGAACAGCCGAACAGCCAGCCAGCCAGCCAGCCAACGAGCCAGTCAACCCACCAACCCCCTATTCAATGTCGTTACAATAATAAACCACCTCGGTTATCTGTATTTCTGTATTTCCCTCTGGGATTCTCGGCACATTCAGGCATCGGGGCCAAGTTCAGCCTCTATCTATATATACACGGAGCGTTCTATAACGCGGCTGTATGCCAGTGTTTATCCTATCCTGGCATCCGTGTGCCACCCCTTTCTCCCAGCGGGCGCCGCGTGCACCTGGATTTTCACGAATTTCAAGGGAAACATGGGCCGACAGCCAACCCCACCCTTCGAACGATGTCGCGTGCCGACCACCTTCATTTTCGCGCTCGTTTCATCGCCCCTTCGATCCACTCGTTCTCGCGGAATTACTCCAGTTACGCGGGCGCGAACGCATGCGGCGCAACAGGATTCCTCTCCCAGCGAAAGTGAATGCAGACAGAGCGAATTTGTAACTTTTCGAGTGTTTTACGCGCCGATGTGTTTTTTTAAAGGGGAGAAGTTTTCAGTAAAGAAATGATTACGAACGAAAATTTCGGGACTGTTTAATAAATTACGAAAGACCCGTTTAAAGAAATATCACGTTTCGATCGTTTCAACGTGCTTCAATCAGAAAAGTATATTTTGTATATTAAAATAGTAAATGTTGGTAACTAATATCTGCTCTATATAAGTCTGTAGATTGTTCTACGTATACTCCATTCTGATTAGATTAAGTTTAAATTCACTTTGGGTGCCGAACGATCCTCGCATATCCCTAACCACGAAAGGATTTCGCATATACCATTGATAAGTGATCGTGAAAATTCCAAGCTTCGTCGATGAAAACGAAATTGATTGATAAAACATACTAACCTTTTTCTCGGTGAGTTTCTCGCACCGCCTCATTTTGCAGATCTGATGGCTCTTGTCGTTGCGGCATGGCGCGCAATCTCCGCAATTGTCCTTGCGTTGACATCCGATGCACTCGCCGCACCTCTTGCGTTTCTTTTTGGCCGGTTTGTCGCTGAGTCCGCCGTCACCGTCGGCGTCGGCCATGCCGCCACCAAGGTGATGGGCCCCCCTGTTCGCAGTGGATGAAACCGCGGCTACTTGCCCGGAACTCTCGACATTTCCGGCGCCAGCGCTGTCTTCGGACTCCATCGAGCCGGCTCGCATTTTTCTACGCTCTTTTTTCCTGCCGTCGATGCCGATCGGCCTGGATGTAGGTGACGAGTCAAGCACCGTGGACATCGGGTTCTGGAAATTGGCGTGATGCAACTGAGGATACTCTGGCTTCACCACGGTCAACACCGTGTGATGAGGATGTCCAGGAGGCGGAGGCGGGAACGCCTGCACCGGACTGGAACCCAGCAACTGAATGTGCCTTTCGTCGAGTAGCTGCTGTTGAAGCGCCGGCACCTCTCTAGCTTGAACGGGAGCCGGTACCAAAGGATAACCGACGCTGCCTCTATGCGGATGCGGGGCTGGGAGCGGCGTGCCGAGCGTGTGGAAGCTAGGCAGGCCGACCGCC